TCTTCTATTCTCTGTGCTTTCCCATCTGTTCACAGTGCAGCTTTGAGTTTTTTTAAGAACTTATTTGGTCTAGTAGCTGATCAGGCTCTTTACATGTTACATGAATTCTCCAAATTAATGAGGCCAACCAGCAGACTGAGGGGCAGAGAAAAAAAAACATGCCTGTGAATTTCAGCACAAAGATAAACAGACATGAAAACAAAGGAAAGATGGACAGCCTGAGTCCAATTCAACAGAGAAACTAACATCCTCCTTCCTGACTGGAATCACATCAGTTTGGGGAAGAAGGTGAGCAGCAGACTAACATGTCAGATCCTCTCTGTAAACTCAAGATGAGAATTATTTATGACACATTTAGCAGGATTATTATTCCATTCATCAGAACTCCAGCAGCACATTTCCCTCCAGCAGCTCCAGAAAACATGCAGCTCCCTAAACAAGGCTCTTTAGTGAAAAACAGGATGCCTGAGAAGTGCCAGGGTTGCTTTATTTGCCAGCCTCATGGCGTTTTTCAGACGGGGCCAAATAAGGTCTCCTGAAGAGCTAAGCTAAGATAAGCACGTCTCTCTTTGCAGCCTTTCTTCCAGCTCCATCTCTCCCTCCCATCTGGGATCTCTGGGAATATAATCCAATCCTTATTAGACATTCCCTGACTGAAGGAACATCATCACTTACTCAGCGTTTGAAAACTGCAGCCGAGTTCTCAAGATGTTTCCAGTGAGTCCAGGGAGCTCCCCTGTCCAGCTTTCCCATGTTTTACACTCAACTGTGGAGGCAAACAGGACAGACAGACAGACGGCTGTGTTCAGCCAATATGAGGGGAACTTGGTGCAGAAATTCAGGTAAACAACATTCCCTGCAGCCTCCAGTCAGCCACAGGTGCTGAGCTGCTTTTTCTGGGACTCCAAAGAGGAAAGGAGGGAAAGTTTCAGGTTGAACCCAGAGTCTGAAAAGCTTTTCTACAAACTGAAAGGAAGCAATCAGCTCAGTGTGTGCAAGGCTGAACCTCCAGGTACTCCTGGTCCTCTTTTGGCTCATTTTATCAAAGCTCCAGAAGAATAAAACATGAGAGAAGAATCAGATGAAAACACACCGTGCCAGGGTGAGAGGTGAACTCAGAGCAACTAAAGAGCAAACGTTTTTCTCATTTAGATTAGTAAAATCCTAAAATACACACCAGGACCTGGCAAAAGCAGCATTTTGGAAAACATTCAGCAAATGACCAATAATTACGGTTTGCATTTAGTAATTTTCAGCAATTTCCTTCACAAAGCTTTGCTTATGAAAGAGGCTGTTTAACACAAGCAGTTGTCTGAATCCGTCTGAATGGATGTATGGCTTCAGCAAACAATTCCCAGGACTTTGGAGGCAACATGCAGGCCAGGAGGAAGGCAGCTTAATTTGATACACAACACAAAATGAGGCTCATCCAGAGGAAAGTGGGAGATTCTGAGAGCGGACATTAGATCAATCCAAGAGGCCAGTTTCTCTCTCAGGTGTTTTGGTTGGAGTGCATTTCCCCTGTGAAAAGCAGCCCCATCATTTCTGGTTGTTTTCATTATTTATCCAACAGGAGAAGAAAAAAGCTGTGGAGACGGACAAGCTCCCACTCAGAGTGTTTCCTCTGGACAGGTTAGTATCAGCATCCCTGTTCAGAAGAGCTGAGATGAACTTCAATCTGACCAATGAGGCGATCTGTGTTGTGTTTCCATGTCTGACATTCAGATAAACTGCTGCAGCTACAGGGTCTTTGGTGATTAAGCTCTTTAAAGTCCAAAAATACCTCCTGGTGAATTGTTACAACTCTGAGCTGCAACATTAATAACAAGCACACACACACACACACACACACACACTAAAAATCAGGAGTGTTTCACACACCAACATGGACACATAGAGGAACGGTCCAGTTTTTGTTGCGGCTCAAACTCTAAACACATTTGATTTCAGCAGCTTTTGTAAACTGGGTTGAAATCTTTGAGAACAGCTGAGGTCCAGTTCAGCTGACCCATCATGGCTGCTGCTTCTGAGTTCAAGTAAACCAGTTCAATGAACATGGAACATCTGGCTTCAGCTGCAGAACCAGAGCCCACACTTGTGGTCACAGATGGATTTTTATGGTAGTTTTTTTTCTGTAAAACCTCATTTAATGAAAGGATCAGAGAGCAAGGTTTTACCAACATGCTGAAACATGAACATTTGATCCTTCATGACAAGTCTTCCATCTATTTTACTGTGAGACACAAATAGAGTGTGTGGAGTTGAGCAGGAAAGTACAGAACTAGCTCCTTGTTGGAAGACATGATGGCCCCAATGAAAAGTCTGGTGGATGTAACTAACTGTGAGGAAAATAAACAGCACCATGGATGGGTTTCAGCCATTTCTCCATCAGTGCTGGGTCTGAAACATATTGCTGCTGCATTCTGCCCTGAGGAAGAGCAACAGCCCTTAGCAACAGTTGCCCCCAGCTACAGCCCTTTGCCTTGTGCTGCAATGGCATCTAGGGTCCAGTGTCGGGTTGGCACTTTGCACACACTGAGCTGTTTGCTTTTCTCAATTCCCATGATGGCTGGAAAGTGGAGGCTTGTTTCCACCGACTGTTTCTGCTCCATCGGTCAAAGGCTCTGAAAATAGTCTCAGCCTCTCAAAGTTTATTACTCTGTGTTTTTCACACATCACTGAAACAAGGGCGGCAGGAGACCAAAGCACAAATTCCTCAATGCAGCTATGCATTGTGAAACAAACTTGAAACTGGAAATGAGCAACGAATTAGGACTTAATGAAGACGAAGGTATCCAGTCTAAGAGAAAGCCCAACTGACCTCAACGACTCCTTCCTCATGCATGGTGATGATGTTGTTGGGGTCCTTGGACAGTTGGTACAGGGCCATGGTTGAGTTAAGGAGGAGTAAAGTGTCGATGCAAAGGAGGGATGGTGATGTGGGAAAAGAGAGGAGGGCAGGTTAAGTTGACCACATTTAATAAGTCTGGATGAAGAACTGGAATCAGTATAAACCTATCCTGCAGTTTGATTAGTTTAAGTTTTTCTTCCTGCATCCTAACTTATCCCAATGATTCTGAAACCGGATTTAGAGATTTAAAGTGACATGAAAACTTGGTTCCACAATGAGGACTCTGTGCCCTCTAGCTTTGAGTTCCTGGTACCAGCTGGTACCTCAAGACTCTGAACCACTTGTGGAGAGAGTCCAAGCAAAGAGAGTGAACCACAGAGGAAGAGAGGCTGCTTTCAGCAGAACTTGGAGCAGCAGACTGCTGTTTAAAACTCAACATACCAGATCACTGCCGTAGAACACATGAAGGTGGATCAATCTGTAATGTTCAGGGCTTTTAAGATGCAGATGAAATGTCTGTCAAAGCATTCATTTTGAACGACTGAATGGAAAACACAAAGTTGGCTGAAGTCAAATCTGTTTCAATATCGTCTCTATGTCAGGAGCTGATACATGGTTCTGTGGTCCTGAATGAATCAAATTTCTACATTTTTCTGGTTAAATTAAGCAACTTGATGAAATTCAGCAAAGATAAAAAGCAGAAGTTGATTTGCAGTTTGGCTTGTCAAATCCTGGGGGAGAACTGGATGTACTTTAGTGTTCTCCCCTCCACCAGGGAGAGCTGGGATCAGGAGTCAGTGCAGTGTATGGGCCCTGTGATGCCATGCCAGAGGATGAGGCGTGTGCACAGTGCAGGCCAGTGAGGGAGCTGCCAGGGCCACAGACCCCCCGACACACAGGAAGCTTTTCCTCAGGAATACTGATGATGGCTGGCTGGGAGTCCCTGACAGAGGAAGCTCTCTCAAGCCACCAGCTGCCACAGACTACCCAGAATCCCTTCCATGCCCCCGAGGGGCCCCCAGTTCTTAAGGTTGCTGCATTAAGAGGACGCACTTAGAAAGACATTTGTTGCCAACCTCCCCCTCAGGATCAAATAAAATAGAAAACACATTATCTGTTGTGTTTGATATGAAGCTGAGCTCAGAAGAACGCTCTGAGGCTCTTCTCTGGACCAATCAGACTTCTAGGACTTACACTGCTCACATGCAGTGTAAGTCCTAGAACCTCATCATGTGGAACTGAGAGGGGTCTGTTTATTTGATTGGAAGGACCTGCTGCTCTGTAGTTTGGCTCATTTTACTGAATAAAATCAGTTCCAGTAAATAACCTACAGACAGTTAGCGTAGCTCCTGTAGATATGTGTCTGCAGAGCAGCAACATCACTGCATGAAGTATTAGAAACTATGCAATCATACCACTGTTCTGTCATAAATTTACAACCAATCTGCTAACTCAAACATTTTGGGTTTTCATCTAAACAAAGACGGCAGTAAAGCAGTTGGATCGGGTTCAGCTCATCACTGCCTCGTCCCATAAAAACACCAAGAAACTGTCTTTATGTAGCTCCCTCAATCCAGGAATGCAGATCTCCAAATAACACCTGTTGTTGAGAAGAGAAGTGTAAAACCACAACCTTGCTAATATGTTTATGACTATTGATTCTGATTGAGCGGGTCGGATCGGTCTGTTCTGATTGAATGTCTTAAAATTTTGCACAATTTCACTTCTAATGTAACAAAACAGCTCCATATAAACTGAGCTAATGTCTGACAAATTATGTTCCAGCAGACGGTCTGGAGTTTATATTGTAGTCACAGATATATTATATCATGCAATGTTAATGTCAGTTATAGTGATATCTAAATGCAGGTAAGATCTTCTGTTTTCAGGACAGAAAATCGACCAACAAAAGATCTTAATGTTGAAGTAAACATAGCAGCTAACATGATATAAACAGTATTTATGGTCATGTAGTTGTTCCAGTTTCATAGTGATTTTATTGGAGAAGTGGCTTCACAGAAGCTGCATGGGCCACCATGCAGGAAAGAAAGCAGAGCCACAGGATATTACAGTCTTTCTCTCAGTCTGTTCCTCACTTCATCAATCCCAGAGAGCCAGGAAGCTCCTCTGCTTCATATTAGCCCAGGGTTCATGTAAGCCCCTGCTGACACAGCTCTGCCTCTGCTGACGTCCCAGCAGAAGCAGCAGCTTGAGAGACAAGCTGGGTGACAGAAACAAGCTTCTGCCTTCTGACTGAGACAACCTTTTAATGAGAAATCTATGACTGATAAATGTCTGGACCAGACGTGTTTAAGAGGCAAACGCTCTGCAGAGATGAGAAACAATGCTGGACTTCATTTCTCCCAGATCTACAAAAATGTATCTTTACTGTACCTTTGCATTCTCGATGCACGGACAAATGGCCCATGCACTAGCCTGAACTTCTGCATTAGGGTTCTTTAGCAGTGACCACACCAGGCGGACTCCATCAAGATGGTCAATGGTTCTGAGGGAAACACACAGAATCATTTCATTGTAGAATCAAATCAAAGTGAAGATTTGGCTCCATCGGGCCGACCTGAAGCAGATTTAACAATGACTAAAACTAAACAGCATGGAAGCAGAAGCTGATTTCAGCACTTTTTATTCCCACTTAGATCTTTTGCAGGGTCTCTGTCCCACCCACTCTCAACTCACTTTCCACAAAAATGTCAGAAAAGCTCAGGTCAGAGGTCAACCTGCACTCATCTGGATCTGGTTCTTCCTGTAAATAGCTGCCGAGTCAAACTTTGACTTTACTTTTTGCCAAAACATTGTGTTTTGGCAAACATGGGAAAGGAGTTCTGTTTTGACTCCTTTCCAAGACAACAGAACCAGAGACAGGTGGCTCCGTATTTCAGAAAGTGTCAGTGAATTTTTCTGAAGCAGCAGTTTGATTTCATCTCATGGTTTCAAACTGGAGTTGCCTCTGAAAGGTCAAAGATTTACACCACAGACCCTCCATTGTCTGCTATAAAAACATGAAACGTGTTCCCCATGTGTGCTTCAACTAACAAAGCCCACACTGATGCTGTCATAATGACCTAAACACTCCCTAATCACAATGTCTTCATGACTGCAATGAGCGGACGCTCGTCAGGGACATCCTCTGCTCCATCTGTCTTCTTTCTGCACAGAAATCAGTCCAGAGGGATCAGAACATCAGGCTCCAGTCTGCAGGGCCTCTTCAGTCCACGACCAAAATCTAAAATGAAGTTTCATATCATCCTCCAAAACGGTTCCATCTTCCCATGGTGCAGCTAGGAAACAGATTACAATGAAGCTGCAGTTGACAGTGACGGATTAGAGGGGAGACCACAGACCTGGAAGACATTAAAAATCCGTCTTCACGCTTGTTCTTCCACTGGACTCACTGGAGGAAGTGTGATGTCATTGACCACACACTGCCTACTGGTGGAGAATGAAAACAAACAGGAGGTTCTGATGGAAAACCAGGAAGTGATCATGGAGCTCTCATGAGCTTTGAATGATCATGATGAGAGAAGAACTGTGGTGACCAGCAGAAGGTCTGATCTGAGAACTGAAACCTTATTGGTCAAACGATGTCCAGCAGGGACAAACATGTTGCAGCTGATTGGGTTTTAGCACACATCATCAGCAGTAAATCATCTAAAACTGGTAATCTGACAAACATTTCTGTCAGTTCTGGTTTGAAATAAGTATCTACTGTGAGTTATGCTAATTGCTCTGCAAACAACTCATGTGTGGAAACAAGCCATCGGGCCAAACATCCACACAAAGGTTGTTTGAATAAGAGCTCTGTTGACAGATGGAGGATGACAGACTGGATGATCTGCTGCAAAAATGTAGAGTGAGAGAACATGATGATCTAATGTAATAGACGTCTCTGGATGTGTAAAGTTTACCACAGTCAGCAGCTAACTAACACCATAAACTCACAGGTTCAGTGATATTTCTGCCCAATGATAATTAAGGCGGCTCTTATAGTCTGGAACAGGTTTATAAAAGCAATGAGGCGCAGATGGAAGCTTCATGATGCTTGAGGTTAAATGCAGAGAGAAAGCCACCGCTCTAGACTGCTTCTCTGGGTTTTCCAGCCATGGAGTTTTGGACGGGGCAGGGCGTTAGGCACGTTAGTCTGAGAGGCTCAGCGACCGCATGGCTTCAGTAAAACTGAGAATGAAACCTCAACCATATTTAACACACAGCAGTTTACAATAAACAAAGCTTTTAAAATCGGTCATTGGGCTAAGGATGAAAGAGACGCCTACCTGCACAGCTCCCACTGAAAACTACAGGAATCTTTCTGAGCAGCAGCCCAGGACAGGTTAATGAGGCTGTGTTTACATCCTACAATTAGTCTCATTTCCTTGTAAAAACACATGACATCAATAAACAGCCAGGAGTGAGTTTGGACTGATTCACTGACTATGGGAAATAAGCCACTAATCACATTTTAACAGGCGCCTCATGGACATACTGTAAATATAAGTAGAGCACGAAACATTGAAAAGAAAGAAATAAACTTACACCACGTTTTTCTTTTCTGTGGCACAAGCTCCAACAGCCTTTGCTACATTTACAAGCAGAGCCTGGTTAAATGACACAGAGCAGATGATGGATCAATAAAGGAATGAGTTTTGAACTGCAGGAAGAACCAATGTTATATACCTGGTTTGTTCCATTGAGCAGGTTAATGAGAGCCCTTATGCCCCCACCGTTGCAGATGACGGCCTTGTTAGCTTGTATCTGAGCAAACTGTCCCAGAGCTCCCACTACATTGACCAGGACCTCTTCAGGCTGATCAGTCAGCAGACCAATCAGGATCTGCAGAGCTTTGTGCTCCTGGAAGCTTTGAGGGAACAAAAAGAAGAAAAGATGACTGCATTAGAATTTAATTAAGTTGCTTTGAATCATTTATTACAGAAACTGGACAACTAACATGGACTAAATGTCAATTCAACAGATCTTGTTGCTCTTGAGAGAGAAGACAAAACTGTGAAACAAAAGTAAAACTAGTTTAGTTTTTAACCCAGAGGCCAAATTTATGAGAGATTCTAATGATCCAGTGATTTAACAGCCAGACTAACAGTGTGTCCTGAACCTCCTCTGTACAGAGCAAAATGATCATCAGATGACTGGGTCAAAGGTAAAGATTGTTTTCCCTTCAGTAACATCAGCATCTTGCTGTAACTCAGCAGGACAAGTTTTCCCACGGCTCCTCACAGCCGTCCCTCGTCTTCGCTTTGCAGCACCAAACCTTGGAAACTCTTCCTTCGTCTTTAATTGTGTGATTTTGCCTTGTTTGCCTTCACTATAGAATAGTAAACTATAGTCGACATTCAGAAAGGATACACTGTGGTTCCACTAAAACCTCAGCAACCCTCTGGTGCACAGTTCATTTCTCTGGCAGTTTTTATTCCCAGTTACGGTTGCTGGCATCATAGCCTGTAAGCTATTGTAGACGGCTAAGGTCATTTGGTTCTGGGCAAGGTCCACTGAACCACAGCCTCTTCTTCAGAGTGAAAACATTGCTATTGAACTTCAGTCCAGTTCAGCATTGTGAACAACAATGGTCTTCCTCCATCATCTGAGGTATCACCTACAGCTCACTACTCTACAATGATCTTGTTTTGATAAATCAACACTGTGTCAAGTCTATTTCTGTCAGGTCCAGCTGAGGTAATTGTTTTCTGGCAGGAGTAACTTGACACAAAGCTGCCTGAAGCAGCTCCGACTGAAAACACAGGCCTCTACATGGCTGGAGGCTCATAAAGCATGTTAGAGCAGACAGGAACCACAGAGGAGCTTCTGTGTGAGCAACACGTTTTCATCTGCAGTCTTTTCTTCACCAATTCATCATTACAGAGAATTCATTTTTTACCGTGATGACTATGAGCTTCAGAGAAGGTCCAAGTGATATTAAGACGTTTCAGAGACCCTGAGATCTCAAGCAACGGCCACAGAAAGCCAACAATCATTAAATCAATGAGGAATATAAGAAACAGATCAATCAATCAGAGCACAGACTAACATGGGGGAACGCTGAGCTGCAGTCGGATAAAGAGAAGAATCATTTAAAGAGGAGATTATGTTCTGCTCATGGTCGGCCTGCAGCAGAACTAAGATGGAAGGAAGCCAGGATCTGGAAGCAAACTTCACACTCTTGACCCAACCGTTACTGCTCTGGCAAACACACTCCAAGACTTGGCAGTCTCCACCTTTTCACTGCAAACTTATTGCCTCAGCCTTTTGTTAAAGTCCTTTACAGCATTTCTGTGTGTCTATAACACCTCTGTCCACAGACCCAAGAGGCCACATCTGGACACAACTAAAAATCTCAACTAAATGTTTCACTGTTTCTCAGTCCTCAGATTTTTCAGAGCTTTGTCCTTGGTTCAGTGGGAGGCCTTTAAAAAGTACAAACTGTGACAATGAGCTTTTTACACATTTATAGTTGAGAACATCAACCGTTTCTCATTTTATTCCTTCATTAAATCAAAGGTTTAACATTTGCTGCTACTTCTCTCAAATCCCAAGACTCCTTACTGTCTAGATCTGATAAATCAGTCACTAAAGCAAGACTGAATCCTGTCTGCAGGAAGATGAATTTAACTTCATCAAAGACAGAAAATCTCAGAAGGCTCCAGCTATTACATAGGTAGACAGGCTCCAAAGTTTATTGGCACATGGGGATAAAATGTCTAATTCTTATTAAACCTCTTTCACACAGAACTGTATGAAACGCTGTTCCAGTGAGCAGGTAGAAATTTGCTGAAGTCATTCTGATCTGTTATCCCCCCTCAAAAAAAAAATCACAAAAACAACAGAGGACATGTGTTCTTTATGTCTAACATGATGCTTTCACATGACTCCAGGTGGGACAATAATAGTAAAGATGTGTGCATACATAGCTACGTTCTCCATGCTGATTGAACACTTCCAAATGGCCCCGGTGGCAGCAGCCAGCAGCTGTTTGTTCTCTGCTTTAGAGAGCAGTGACACCAGAGGCTGCAGGCCGTGGTGGTTCCGGACCAGATCCCGGAAGGCCTCCTTGTAATCGGGTTCCTCTGGAGCGGCAGCTGGGATTCTGCAGACAGTCTGACCTGCTGCAGCTCAAGGCCAATAAATCACAGCACTAAGGATGTGGAGCAGGATTGAGGTGAGCAGCAATGCCAGAGAGGCCCTGCTGACCCTTTATGCAACACTTTTCTGCATGTGACCTGGACCTGTTGCTAGAAGGAGTGAATATCTGTGTTAAGTGTGGTGCTCTGATCTGCAGTGTTGTCTTGGTGCAGATGTATGCAGGTGGCTGACAGAACTTGGTAGATCAGATGTCAGACGATGATATAATGAGACAGAAATGAGCTTCTGGTTAGAAAACCTGCTACTGACTGCTTTATGGATCAGTGTTATTGCAGCAATCAGTCATGAAGGTCTATGAAGAACAATGCAGCAGTTCTGCTTGTGGCCAGCAGAGGGAGGAAACGTTAATGAGGACACAGCTTGCATCAATCAAGCTGTTAAATTCATTAGTTTAATGAAAATCTCAGTGGATATTGAAACAAGTTTAACATCATCTTCCAAAAATATCTCTAGTTTTATCAGCTCTGTTTCTTTCTGCAGTCATTAGATTGAACCTTTAAAATCATTCAATCAAATTTTATTTGTGTAGCACATTTCAGCAGCAAGATATTTCAAAGTGCTTCACATCATAAACACAAAAACACAAAGTCTTGCAACATAGAATTAACAATCAAAACATGACATTCAGTCATGTTCCATCATTTAATACAATACAATTCTAAATAGGTGGGTTTTTAGTCAAGATTTACAGGAAGTCAGTGTTTCAGCCTTTTTACAGTTTTCTGGAAGTTTGTTCCAAATTTGTGGTGCATAGATTCTGAATGCTGCTTCACTTCATTTGGTTCTGGGGATGCAGAGCAGACCAGAACCAGAAGACCTGAGAGGTCTGGAAGGTTGATACAACAACACATCTTAAGTGTATTGTGGTGCTAAACCATTCAGTGATTTGTAAACTAACAACAGCATTTTAAAGTCTATTAAAGTCAGTTGCAGTATTTCAACCTGCTGCTTCCTTCCTGTTAAAATAAATCTGTTTATGACAGGGATGAGGGTTAGGGTTAGCCCTAAGCTCAAACTTTAATATTGATGCATTAGAAACTGGAGAGGGAAATGAGAATTATGTGACACAAACAGCTTAATTCATGTTTGTCAGAAACTGACTTCAGTTTGCATTCTGGATGTTGTGAGAATCAACATGAGCCTCATAGAGGAACAGGTCTGTAGCCGTCCAGGTAGAAAAACAAACACTTCAGACTCCTGAGCAAATATTCCCTCATAAACATCATTAAAAATTCAAACAGATCAAGCTTGTGTCGCTGTGTGAAAGTGTTTCACTTTCAAAACAACAAGCAGCAGTCTGTGGTGTGAGAGGGAAAAGATCTGCTCCTAAAATAAAATATGATATTATGAAATGACTGCAGATCAAAAGGTCATAAATAAACTGTGGGGTTTCCAGACAGAAAGAGAGCAGGGACATGCTGTTTAGAGTTACATGCATCTTTCTGCTGCAGGAAAACACAAAACCCTAAAGCCATCAGCACAATCCTGATGTTAAACTTTAAATACACTGAAAAGTGTGTCGATTTTGGGGCGCTGCAGTGGTGCAACACTACAACACATGATCCATATACAGAGGCTTTTGTCCTCAACTCGGCCATGGTTTCGAGTCAATGACTCTTCCCCCTCTCACAACCTTTCCTGTCTGACCGCTTCAAATAAAGGCCACTAGATCCGATACAATCTAAAAAGATTTTATAAGATTGTTGCCTCTTTCATATCACTGCCATCTCTTTGTTCCCCTTTTGGAAATAGTGAATGCTTACTTTTAGACAGGGAATTTCCTTCCATTATTTCTATTTTCTTCTCCCAAAAGAAATCTTCTCGACTGCAGAGTTTTCCATAAAACATTTTCTCAACTGAAGTGCAAAAAGAAAAGAATGAGGGAATGTCAAGATCATTTTCTAATGTAACATGTCTGAATGATCTTGTCTTGATTATGGCTACAACTAAGTGTTTTAGTAATTCTACAGATTGCTCTGACAATTAAGTGGATAAAAAAAAAATCTTTTAATTTTCTAAAATACAGTGACGAGTCAATGACATACCTAAAAATACTAAAGGTAAATACTCTCAGTCCTTTCTGTTTGATATATATTAATAGAGTGTATTAATGTATGTTGATTATTTTTTGGATTTATAATTGGATGACAAAAAGTGGTGTTTTTTTTTTTTACAAATTTCAACCAGTTGAGGCTAAAACAATGGCAACAGAGGAGCTCAGCGTAAAACATGTTTACAGAAATCTTAAATATCTTAAATGGAAAATCTTTATGTTGTGTTTGGCGTTGGCTTAATTATTTCTCATAATCTGGCCATGGCCTTTCTACGCAAGTCCATTTGATTCTAATCGAGTTCAGGGCTCTGTCTGGACTTTCTCCAATAAAAATGGATTTCTCTGGTAGAATTTATACCAGGCCAATCAGTGAACAGAAGGAAAAGTTATGACCGATGACATGCATTTTCTGCGCTGCAGAATTTTAGCACGCCTGTAAGTTTTTGCAATGCAAGCGGAGGAAGTGCACTGTAATAATTTCCAAGTCAGAGTCATTATGACTGCTTCTACTTTTTATCATCATCATTATTTAACAATCTGAGACAAGGCTGGTACTTTTTAGTTTCAACTTGAGCCAGTTTCTCCTCCAGTGTGTCCACTTATCAAAAGCTCCAGCTGCAACAGCTCAGCTCTTTCTACATCTATTTATCAGTCAGAGACCAGATGTAATCGCTGGGTTTTTTCACAACTTCTCCTGGTTTGGGGTCTGTAATTGGGCAGACAGGGGTTCCACACTCTGAAGACTTTATTAACTCTGATCACTGAGCCATCAGAAATATTACCACTGATATTCATAAAGCATCCAATCATCTCTTCATAAAGTGTGACTGCTGGCAGGCATGCTGAGCAGATGTGGAGAGAGCTCTGCATCCTTCTGCTCCAAAGCTCCTCTGCACTGACAGAGGGATCACTGCCTCACTCTCTTCATGGCAGTCTGATCAGATTTAAAGCCACTTTTCTTACATCACTTCTCACTTACCCACTTTTGTTCAGCACACCAAGATTCCTCCATCTATGACATGGTTCACGTTTCTTCCTGCCGTACAGAGATTCTTGTACTTTCTCCCACTCTTTTTCTTCAGCCGTCTTGGGTTGGGCTAGTTCTATTTCATAAGCCAGGTGTGCAACGTGAATACTCTTACGAGGTTTCTGTTCCACAAAATACTGATGGTGACAGAAAAAAAAAAGAGGTTAAAAATAGAGAACAAGATTCAATTATGTCAAATATAATAAATCTTGATGGAACAAATCTGTAAAACTCTGCAAATGTTACTTATTAAACCCAAATGGTCAGTTTGATTCCTGCTACTTGTGAAGATGTGTTCTGAATATTGTCCCAACAAACATCAGAGTTTAATTATGTTTCATTATTGGATTAAAAGGATATTAATGTCGAACAAAGTGTTGTCATGTCAGTCCAAGAAGAGTGAAATGAAAACAACACAGCAGTTATTAGAGGCAAACGAGAAACCCTGAACTCCCATAAAATCCCTTGTGAACAATCTGCAGGCCTGCATCAGGACTGGGTCTTTACTGAGCAACTGGAACAAAAGAACACGATCCCAAAGCTTTCCAAGGCACAAATCCCTCTTTAATCTCAATGACATCAAACGTCTCCCATTCCTCAGAATCCAACTAAAGGCTCCCAGCTCAGTCTGAACTGAACTGCTGTTCTTCACATCTGACTGGTTCTGGTTCTGGTGATTTGAAGCTCTAACAGCAAACTGTACAGCCTGTAGAAAAATGCCAACGTGCCTGAATGAAGGTCAAAGTTTAATCACTGACACCTGCTTCTGCAGGAACAGCTCAGACTCTGATTGGCTGTCAGGAGCTGCACATTGTTAAGGGCAGGGAAGGGAATGAACGTGTTCGTCTGCAGGTTGGGTTCACCATCAGCTGGATCCAAGCGCGGCCCATCGTCTCATTAAACACAAAGTGACTCGCTACTGGAAACATACAAGTCAATTCACCCAACCACAGACTAACAGGCAGACTTTATTAGGCTAACCAAAATTCTGTAATTCTCTTATATGTGAAATGGACAAGAGCCATGTGTTTGCTGAAGGGAACACTCCCTAGAATAAAATCAAACTCTGTTCCAGATGCTTTTAAAACGCTGTAAGTGAGAATGATGTCGGAGAGTTCTGAGCACTGAAACCTATTTATTAGTAGGTGTCCTAACGTCCCCTCTGGGATCCTCTGGTCCAGCACTGCTGGTTCAACTTCAACAAGCAGACATGTTTGGAGATCAGCTGCTGGTGTCTCTGGCTGCTTCTTGTGGGTTTGAGCTTCTGCTTTGCCATCAGGGGAGGGAGCTGCAATGATGCAACTTAGTTTCCTCAATTGGAACCTGAAGAGAGCCTGTCCATAAGAATGACTGTGATTCTTAAATGTCTCCCAGATATGATGCTTGTCGTTCCATTTACTAGAATCATCAGCAAACAACTGCTTTGAAATATCCTGCAGAGATAAAAACCTAAACTGACATGGCAGTGAGCTGTATGGATCAAAGCAATGAAGGAATCTAAGGGGAACAGATCCAGACAAAAGCTACATCTGCCTTAATACCGCCTTTTTTTTCACACATAGGAAACTTAGAATGTCTTTTTTGTAAAGCAGAATTGCCCTGGAACATACAGACTTCAAGCTTCTTGATATGTGAGGCTGAAATGCAACAAGAAGACGTGAAAAAATAAAATAAGTAAATATTATCTCAATAAGATCGTCCACCTCAGCTCATATTTGAGAGCTTGTTTCCTCTCTTGCTCCTGGTTTGGCTTGGTACTGCAGACAAACACTGAGGACTGAAAATATTCTGTTTGTGTTCACTCTCTCTGTTTGGACCCAAAGGTTCACTCAGTTCAGAGTTATTCACCACAGGCTGGAAGGTCCTGCTTTAAGACGAACGTACAAGTTCTTCTTCAGGTGTTTCATCTCAGCATTCTCTGATTTTCCTCAACAGGATAAGAACCAATGCTATGGTGTTGTGTAATTAAACCACTGAAACCAAACACTGATCTTCCACAGAGACAAGGAGACATCTCCAGTCTCCATACTGTCCCAACCTTCTTGTTGTCAACCATCCTCTACAGTCATGATGTCTGACCCAGAGAACGTTTTTCTGATCATCAGTAAAATCAATGATTTCCTCTGATGCTGACCTGATTAGCTCTTTATCTTCCCGCTGAACCAATAGGAAGGTGAGCTCTGTCTTTCAGATCGCTGAGAACAAAGTCAGAGCAGGTGGAGTGTCTTTGTCTCCACAGTTTTTAGGAATCAGCTTGATGGGGTCAGAATGTGAATCGATCAGTGAAATTCCCCCCTGAGGGGAGGAGAGGCAGCAGCTCTTCTACAGAAACAAGACAAATCATTTCTGATGCCGTTGTTGTTAGAGAAGTGAATTTATGAGCTTTCCTCCTTCTGCAGGTATTTTACTTGGAGGAGTTTCTGAAAATGTGCCACTGGCTGCTGGAGCTAATGTTGAGTTCTGTGAGCAACAGAGTTCAGACACACTAGAGAGTTAACTTAGTACATGATTTAATGTGAGCACCTGACTGGCTTTGAACAGGAAAAACAAAGAAAAGATGGATTGAAGACTGGGTGAAAATGTGGAAGCAGAAGCAGGATAAACGAGGGTCTTTATATATCTAACCCAGGTCTCTTTAGCCGACCTAATTGCTGTTTGTTAAAGCAGAGATTAAATGGAATGATCTGTGGGTCTTTTCCAAAGGAAAACTGATCTGCAGCGTGTTTAGAAGCACCTGCTCTCTTAGATGTTCTGTGACTAAAACTTAATACAGCATAATAAACACAGGCTGCTCTCCATACTGTTTCTCCCACTGCAGGCTCAGGCCTTGATTAAGCTTCATGGAAACTTCTGGATGACACACAGAAACCTACTGTAGCCTGCATCAGTTCAGTGTGTCCAACAATCCATTAAAGCTCAAATGAAACACACACAGAAGGAGTGTGAGCAGTAAGAGTGATGAAGGTGCTCAGACTCCTACTACGCTCCTGTTCCTGGTTTGGAGAGAGTCAGAACGGGTCTCTGTTGTCATTTTTCAGTCACATTCTTCTCTTGTGAGGAGTTTGCTCATTTTCCAGGCTCTCTGTTAAATCCAGATCAGTGGGGCTCATGTGGTTAAAGCAGGGAAATGTGAAGGTGACTCTGGTCATTGGAGGAAGAAGCTGCTAGATATGTGTGACCAAATCCCAAAGTTGTAAAATACTCCCAGAAACCAGCCTGTCCTTTCCCACAATCCTTTGTGATTTAGGACAAACAGGAAAATTCTAAAACCTTTTAAACTTGGTCAAGTGGAGCTGAAAGATTCTTTAAATATGACCGGTAACTTTCTTCATTATGGCTCACATGTTGTGGTCAGAGTCCAGCTGCTCAGAGCCTTTTAATCTAATAATAGTAGAAAGATTATTTAATGATTGTAGATGAATGTCTGAGTTATTATTAGAAAGATGCATCAGACAGTGAGATGAAATAAAACCTGTTTGTGGCTGAAAGGACACAGAAATGTCTTCGATCTTCTTATATTGATCTGCAGCAACAGTAGCTGCATTTCCATCAATCACAATATTTTCAAAATTATTGAAAATAATTTGCTCAATAGAAACACAGCAATCTTGGAAAAAAACCTTATTTTTTAATAAACCGTTTAAAAACGCTCCATTAAAAATTCATTTTTAATGAAAACACAGTTGGTGTCTAAACTTCCTTTAATGATCAAACTTCCTGAATCCCTAATTATGTTGATTTATCCCAAGTGGAAACGACAGCATGCAACTTAAAACTGAGACATAATGTTGGCTGCATGAGAACCAATTAGCTCTGATCTAAATGAGTCTCAGTAAACAAACCCTGATACCTCTGAGAAGATTTCAATATCACTGCTTGGACGTTTTATGCACACAAACCTGTAATTGTGGCTTTGAAATAATGTGGTTCGTTTGTATTTCAAGGGGTTGAGGCCTTGGTGCCACTGTTTTCTTTGGAGGGGACAGACTTTTGTCAAATATAGAAGCATTGTGAGATTTATGGCCATAAAACTTGTGGAGAAACCCAAAGTCAAACTCTGCATACAGGAGTTCAACATTTTTATGTGTTTTCTGGTTCTACTTCTGCTCAGAACTCGACTCCTTTTTCAGAAAACGTTGAGCTTAATGTGAACATGTGACCACAAAATCTTTGAGAAAATCACATCATCATAAACTGGAATATTGTTAGCTGCTCTGATTGGCTGGTTTCAGTGCAGGTTGTCAATTTATGTAAAAATAGAAGAAAGATAATAAAATCATGGCAACAACACTTTCCATAAAACCTTGTAGGAAACACATGAAGGCTGCTGTGAGGATGTATCTGATCCATCTTGACCTGCTGGTGAGAAGAACGTGTGGATGAAAAGAGAAGACTGACATGGAGACGAATGTTGCTTGGAAGATGGGAAATGGAAAAGGTGGGAAGAGAAGTTGATGAGAGGACAAAGAGGACAGACAGCATGTCAGAGTCCGAGGTGAGTCCGAGCTGGTTCCCTTTTCTCCCATCGTTAGGAGTTTCGGCCTGAGACCTTTATGTTGGTGCAGCTCCAGTGCTGCTGCTGCCTGACCAATCAGGGAGAGGACAGGAGAGGAATATTGCTGCTGGGAAATAATGACACATCACTATGAAAGACATGAAGAGGGAAAAGAGACTTTCCTACAAACAGATTCATTCAGTTGAGAGCAGATTCTGCCTGGAGACAACTCTGTTGTTCATCGCCTCTTTTATTCTGGGCCCAGCAGAGTGCAGCTCTGTTGTTCTGATTACAGTTGTTGTTTTGTTGGTTTTAACAAAATGATCTTGGACCTATTAGGTCTTAACATTGATCCTTAATAATGTTCAAACAGGTTTTACCTGTTTCAGGTATTGCCATGGACATGTCGGCTGAGCTGTAGTTCATTTTCTTCACAGCAGAACTCACATGTTTGACCCTTAGTTATCGTTTTCTTTAAGAGCCTCAGTTAATCCCACACTGTGCACTAACATGCAGCCACAGCAGGCTGCAGGTATGCAGCAATATCAGCCTCAGCAGGCGGCAAGAGCAGAGATTCATGACTGAGAAACATTGATGGTCCTCTGCTGACCCATGTTGGTTTTACAGAAGGAGAAATTTCTGTCTGACCATTCTATCTAAAACCTCGTGTTCATTTGATGTGCTTGGAGCCGACCAAGCTGCTGCACAGGAAGGGTGTTTTACAAGAAAACTAAATGTACTGGCAAATAGTAAACTGCATTCAACTGTATAATAGCCAATGTGCTCCAATGTGATTATTCAAAGATTTACTGGAGCAGGTTGGATTTGTGAGGCATTTGTGTCATTTACATTCAAGAACCTGAAATTCCAAAGGTGAGATAAAAAAAGAAGTTTCTATAATTAGAGAAAACTAAAAGTAACATGAAACACATTAAGCTTGATCACATTAAAAGCCTTGGAACTCAGCATCTTGAGGCATTTCTTTCCTATCTTAAAGCAATAATCTAAGGCAAGAAGGTAAAACCTGATCCTCAGATAATGGCTGTCAGTAACCCATTAGGCCCAAACAGGAATGTGTCCAGAGCTCCAACAAAGCAGCTCTTAGGGAATATTTCTCTGACCACTTTGCTGTTTAAGAAGTTGGAAAGTGAGAAGATATTTCTGTACAACTGTTGAACAGACCAAGACATCCAGACTGAGTTTTTCATACACCAACCCTTTAGCTGAATCCCAGAGCTCTAAGCGCTGATCAGCCTGTCTGCAGTCATTGTGAGAGTCCCTCAGCATTGACTAAAGAGGGTTTAGTTTCAGCCTTGAAGCAGGAACTTCAGATGAATGAGAACCCTCAGCAGAGTGGTCAGAGCATCAAGCAGTCAGACTTTAGCCTGACAGCAT